TCGTCCTTTTGGAGCAACAACTTACGTAGAATTATCAGAGGATGAGCTCAATGAGACCCAATGGTTTGTCTTCCAAAACTGCGAGGAGATTGAACCATATTTTGAGTGAGTATATTTTATTGATGGAAATTCATAACAACATTTTTAGTTTCTATTTTATTTTTTTATATGACTAAATTTAACATTAAATATTACAGAATGCATAAGGAAGAGCTTATCTTGGGTGGGTGTGAAAACGTAGCTAAAGAGCACAAGGATAAATTTCATGCGTGGTTCAAAAAGCACGTAAGTTATTTGCATATATACATGAAATTTTCAAAATGTTTACAGATATATCTCTAACTGATTGTTTACTATATTTTGTTAGATGAGTGCTTTGTATAAACAAGACTCGTCACAAGCAAATGAGTCTCTATATTCACTTGCATGTGCACCCCATAGGTGCGTAAGAAAGTACCCAGGATGCATTGTAAATGGTGTAAGATTTTTAATTAAAGACCGCGATAGTCATCGCAAGACTCAAAATAGCGGAATTGTTGTGGAGGGGAACCATGGTGAAGAGATTATAGATTTTTATGGGGTCTTAACTGAAGTAATTCAGCTAAATTATGTGAAAGATAGACATGTTACTATATTCAAATGTGAATGGTTTGATCTTGGGAGAAGAAAAGCTGGGATACGAAAGGAGGGGAATATCACTAGTATTAGAATAACTGGTAAGTGGTATGAAAATGATTCTTACATACTAGCTGATCAAGCAAGACAAGTTTTCTACATCAATGATCCTAAATTAGGAGCGGACTGGAGAGTGGTACAACCATTCCAACACAGGCACATATATGATGTACCAGAGAAGCAAAATGAAGAAACGGATGTTGATGATGTTCCGTTAATGGAAGATGAAGTGTATCAAGAGAATGAAATCGGTGAATCATTTGAAGTTACTGTTGATGATATACAATCCCTGCATAGAGAGGACATAGATCCCGAAGAAATTGAAGAGATATTAATTTCAAAACAGTCAGAAGATCATCATGCATCAAATATTGAGGAGGACCAAGAAGATGAAATAGATGACACTTTGATTGATTATGTTAGTAGTGAAGGCACCATTGATGCTACTGGTTCTGAATCTGAAAGTGATGACTATGACTGGGAAATATAACAACCCCATAGCAATTGCTAATATCACAGTATACACATTGTAAGATTTTTTATATACTGTATTACTTATCTGTTGTTTTACAGTATTCATTGTTTTATTTATAAATTTGATTGCATTGTTCTTATTGATATTATAATTAATCTTTTTTTGTTGCAGAGATGTACTAACTTCACTTGATATGTTTGGTATTTCTTCATAACAATTCAGTTGTGGTATGTCTTTTGCTATATCTTATCTATATTATTCGTGATTAAAATAATCATGAGGTTGTTATGTGTGTGTCCATTAGTTATCTAAATGTTAGTTGTGTTGATTAATAATTTTTTTTAGTTAAAGAATGAAAATAGAACAAAGTTTATCTAATCCATAAATGGGTATGAGACATGAGTAAACTGGAGCATAGTTATGATGGTAATGCTTAAATTTTTTGAGTTGTTGTGTTGATTTTGAGTTTGTAAAACAACATTATTGTGTGAGTTTTATTGTTTTTTTGAGACAAGTTGTATATATTGTATGGATTATCTAGTTTGAGATTTTGAAAAACTGTCATTTTGAAAAATCAGTTGGGGTGATATTTTGGGAAAACTCTGCACATTCAACTCTGCTATGCATTACTTGTACTACGTTTAAGATCTAGCTGGGCAAAGTGATAATGGTCCCAAAAACATTATTGTAAGATTTCAAGTTCCAAGGATGTTTTGGTTTTGCTCCTCACCCTGTTGCTGGATAGGGCCTCTGCAATAACTTTACCAGGTAACTTTAGGTTCAAAGCTCAAGTACTTTTCACAACTTTCATTGTAATTTTTGGCACCTAATAAACAAATGGTCTCTTTTATACAGACGACGGTGATGGATAATGGATTCAATTGCATTTGTGTACTGCCTGCCTAAGGAAGCAATGGAATTGTACCCCTTATTAAGATGATAGCATTTGATTCAACTTTACAGTTCCTATTTGTCAGTTGTATGTTTTGTAGTGCAAAATCAGGCTCCTAGTGGTAAAACATATTGTTTAGAGATTATTATGATTACGATGCTTCTCTTATATCATGTTGATACATTGAATGTAGTTCAGGGGTAGAATATGGATGTTGTATGTGAAAAATTCTCGCATTGTTATGTTAGAGTTTTTCCCACCTTCCAATTGCTAACCACTTTAGTTTGAAGATTTGGGTTAATGAAAATGGCGGAAATATTGGGTTGGGGGATTTATTGCCGCTTTTTATCTCCTTTAATTAAGATTTGAGTTAATGAAAATTTAGGGGCAATTTTTGTAACTTCTCATTTGCTTGATTAGGAGTTTTTTAATAATAATAATAATAATAATAATAATAAAACTTTAAAAAATTCAAAATAAAAATAAAAGCGTACAAAATACTTTTTAAGGTATTTTTTAAGAATACATATTTTTAAAGAGAAAATAATATAAATATCACGAACTTTTGATAAATGTGAGATAAGGATTCCAAACTTGCACATTTAAAATATTACCTGAACTTTATATTAAAAATTATATCAAATCTTGGGGTATTGTTTTTATAAATTTTGGGGTATTTTATTACATATGTGAATTTGGAGTGCTTGCCTCACACCTCTTAAAAGTTTGGGGTATTTTTTAAAATTATTTTCCCTTATTTTTAATATGTTAATGTTTTTAATTTTTTAAATATTATTATTTATATTAAAAAATATAAAAAACCAGTTTCACGGTTAACGTACATTATCAAAATATTAAGTTAGTCATAATACACAAAATTACACATATATTTCATTCTACAATTCTACAAATGTACATACCTTCTTAGGTTTCAACATGTTGATCTTGTACAAAATTAGTCAAATTAATTTCACATTCAACAATAATTTGATCCAATTCTCATTTAATAATGATGAATCATTTGAGTTAATGTTCGATCTACTCCCAGTGCTTCGAATCGATCATTTGAAATCATGCTATCTTTTTCAGTATATATACATGTATTAGAATATTTTATAGAAAAATATACTCCCTCTGTATCTATTTTATTGACCCGTTTTCTTTTTTACGTAGTTTAAGATAATTATTGTAGATTATATGAAAAGTAAGAGATTTTGGTACTGTAGTTGTATTGTAGTTGCTTTTTGAGTGAGTTTCTTTCCAAAAAGGGAAATGAGACAGTTAATTTGATACATCCCAAAAAGGAAAGTGGGACAAATAAATAGATGCGGAGGGATTATATAATATATATAATTATTTTTTTAGAAGTACATGGGGTCTCAGGACCCATGGGACCCTTAGTGGGTCCGCCACTGTCACCACCCAATCTTGTTGCATCACTTTGATGTATCTTGGATATGAACGACAATATGACCCAAGCAGCGATCAGAAGAAGAAGATCCCAAGATCCACACTGCTAAAACCATTACCATGTATGAATCGGTTCGAGATGATCGAGTGTCGATTGATGGCCAATTCAACGTTCACCGAACATGAAAGTTTGCACATACATAGCCCTAGTCGAGGGTACCATACTGCTTGCGTGAATATAAGAGCGTCTCTAATGCTCTAATAGTAATGTTTAGTTTTATTAATAATACCTTATAATTTGGTTTAAAAAGAAAAAGAGAGAGAATATGATAGTAATGTTAATGGTTATAAATTTTTTTAAATTTATAATATCTGACTAATAGTATGATTATATTAACTTAGTCACCTTTTTTATGTCTATGAGTTATCTTTGAGTAATATTAAAGGAAAAATATCTTATTATAAGATATTTTCCTTAAATATTACTGAAAGATAATTTATGACCAAAAATAGTACTCTCTCCGTCCCAATTTGATTTGCAAAATTTCATTTATTGGTCGTCTCAAAATGGGTTTCCACTTTCTATTTTAGGTATGTAGATAAGAATAAAGTGACAAATCTACCCTTACTTTTACTTTTCTTCCATTAACTTAAATGCATCTACTTTTAGGAAGATGAGCAAAAATGTAAAAAGCAAGCATCATTTATTGTTCTTCCTTAATAATTGTGAAAGTCAAAGTTTGCAATCCAATTCGAGACGGAGGGAGTACTATAATTACTATGTATAGTTACTATATTAGTCACTAAAGTATAACAAACATATTTTTGTCTAGTACCTTTATTTGATCATACATTTGTCATTATTTCAAATAATTATTAATCTCTCCGTTCTCCAATACTTGCCCTTGTAGGCTTTGGCACGAGTTTGTCATTAAGAACAAACCAAGGGAGTATAGTTTATTGAAGATGAACATCGCCAGGATAAGCGGAAGGGTAACCCGTTATCTTGTGCCTTCTAGGGACGCTCGTAGGGTGGGCCTTAAGGGTTTATGGGCCAACCCGTGTTGGGCCATTAACTCAACACTTATATTTAACATATTTTTATTAATAAAATAAATAAACAATTATATGAAAGAATAGCTAACATAGTCTATACAGTAACTTCAGCCAATTCAATCAGAAAATTAACTCTAGTTTCCAACGTTACTTATTTTGATTATAACACAATTTAAAGTACGAAATCAAAAGTTACGTGTTTGGTGAGAAAGTTAAGGTTGATCAACTAAAAAACAATGTCATCAAACAGACTCTTAAATACAGACCAGACTTAAATAGACCAGACTAAGTTTGGGCAGCTATAAAACACACAGAGACCAGACTTTTATCAGACCGACAAGACTGGTTCAGATCAGACCAGATCAGACTAGACTTAATAGATCAGACTAGCAAATTATATTCCAAAAGAAAATATCCTAAATCAATCCAAACTTTAACAAATTAAATCAGACCAATTCAATTAAAAAAATCTAGTGTTATTGAAAGCATCGGAGAAAATGTGATTTTTTTAAAACATAAACACTCGCCACTATCTTAAAGTCACAAGTGGGTTCATCTGCTCCATTTGTCCGCAACTTCCAGATTCCTCTTTACTGTCATTTTATCTTCTACTTCATAGCATCTTCTTCTATTCAATGGCTCTGAAGATCTACACGCATGGTTGTTCTATCTGACTTTTGACCAACGTTTTAGTCATCTAAATCATAATCTAGCCCTATTGGTCGAGTTTGGGGAATATGAAGATGAGCTTGAACGAGTGTAATAAAAAAAGTCTACTGTGGAATTCACTTTCCATTTGCAACAACATAAGATTGGGAGCAACAATTGTGGTTAGATCTTCATCCGTATCTCAATTTTTTTAGTGCTTCGGTTTTAAATAGTTTAGTTTTGATATGTGGATTGTTGTAATAAATTGGGGTTTATTTAAGTTGTTACAAATTTTAAATAAGAAGTTCCGTGATTTTTTTGTTGGGCTATGGAATTCCTTGAACTTTTTTTAAAGGATTTCCCTAAACTTAAAAAATAAAAAAAGGAATAAGAAAATATAATTTCCGAAATATTCAGCATAACTTAAGAGTTTGCCGGTGATTTTTAGCAGCGCGAAATTAAAATTTCATTTACGCGGAAAAACTATTTTTAAATTGTACGTCGTATTTTAATAACTAGGTTAACATGTATTCCCGCTCATCAATTTCAATTTATATAGATATACCTAGTATTAACCCGCCGGCCACTCTACCTTTTACCGTAAACTTTTCAATCTCTTTGTCTTCTTCAAGATTGTGAAAACAGGTATGAATGTTAATATTTGTTCCAGATTTCTTCCTATGAGAATTATTTCATTATTGATATTGCTTTCACTAATAAATCAAGTCGTATATTATATATATACCCGGCCAGGGATGTATATATAATTGGTTTTTTATTTTAATTGCCCTGTGACTTTGTTTGGTTGCATATTTACTTACTATTGATGTTAATATGTTATATATGTGGTAACTCAAAAAATTATTGGTTCAATTGCTTATAGATTGACATTTTTATTGGAGAAAAAGCTAGAGTTCATACTTTAGTGGTTAAATTTTCAGAAATTTTAAATCTGAATATAATAGAAGATTTAATGTTTTTGCAAAAGGGGTTGAATCCTACAATGTTTACTAGGTTTGCTATAGCAGCCCTTAGGGGTTTGAGAATTTCACACTAAGGTTGGTCTTTAATGTTTATTTCTTTGTCATAATTGTGCTTACCAATCAACATATGGAACCTATTGTACCATCTATCTGTCAAATCTATGCACCTTCATGTTTTTGTTGTTTAAAACTATTTAAATCTTTCTGCTTTAGTGTGTCTGATGATGTTTAAATGCATGATATATTTCCAAAGGCATGCTGAGGGGTTTTGATTTGGTACCCCTCGGTTACCTTTTCTATTCTTGTAAACAAAATTATTATTTGAGTAAAATATACACACTCACCTTGAAAGAATGATGTGATTTCGTTTTGTTTTGTGATTTTTTATCGGTGATCTTTGAACCTGCTAATTTTATGAAGTTTAAGAGTCATTTTCATTGATTTATTTTACTTATTGATCATTCTATACAGTTAGAGGAATGGCACCAGGTAGTAAGGAAAAGGTTCAAATGGAAAGTCAGTCTCAACCAAGTATTCGACAACATAAATCCAAGAAAGCTTCACCAAATTTCGTAACTCTCGGGGGAATTCGGGGAGTTCTAGAAAAATCAAAACTACCTGTTAGGGGTGAAGTTGTTGATACAAGAAAGAAGACATTTGCACAAAACATGTCCTCTAAAAGATGTGCACCAACTACAACACTGCATAGTCCTGAAATCATTGAAGCAGATGCAAGTCAAACTCATGAAAATTCAGTCATTGGTAGTCCTCATCGTGCATCACCAGAAAGAACTGTTGAAGGAGGTATGTATCTCGGTTTTAAAAGATAATATGTGATTGTGTTTGAATTGTGATTTCTCTCTTGTGAATAAAAAACATGTTGTCTGCCCATAGCTTCTTGCCCTAAGAAAAGAGGTCGTGGTCAAACGATGGGCAAGGGAATTATGAGGGCATTTGCGGCTTCTAAGACCAAAATGAAGGTAACTGTGGATCCATCGATCGGAAGACCAAAAGATGGAGAAGAATCAGCAAAGCTTTCGAGTCAAATCGGTATAGTTACTCGTGATGTACTTCCTGTGCCAAGAAGGTGGAATGAAGTAGATGAGGAGAATGGGCTGGAATCTGGATTTGATCATATACAGGTATGGTTATACAAATGAGTAACTTTACATTTTAATTCTGTGATCTGAAATATGCTGCCAAAACTATGCAGATGCATATGGATGTTAATTTTGGTGATCCCGGTGTGAAAGAAAGCTTAATTGGAAGGCTGAAAAGCAGTACTCGGCAAAAACGTTACAAGCTACACATGCATTACAAACAATTTCAAACTTTGGAAGAAGCTAAAGTAAATAAGCCTCCAATTTTCCTAAGCCAAGAAAATTGGGAATTACTGTGTGATCATTTTGCATCTGCCAAGTTCCAGGTGATAAATTAAATTCAAACATTTCAGACAAATGTCTTATTTTTATTGTAATTCTAAATGGCCTTGATCTATTTACTGTCTCTGGCAATGTAGAAATCAAGTATTACGAACACAGGAAACAGGAAATTGGTCCGAGGTCCACACATTACAGGCAGAAAACCTTTCACTGTTCGACTACATGAAATAGTGAGTGTATTTGTGTTAATAACTAGAAACTAAGTAGTATTAAATTCTATATTTTCCTAAGGTTATGTTATGTTTTTCTGCCATTTACTCCAAGTTGTGTGATTGTGCTTGAAATTTCCATTCCCATTGCAAGTTTTGAACACTCTTATTTCCATTCTGAGTAAGTGTCTTTGCTAGTTCTGAACTCTCTTATAGTGTCTTTGCTCTGTAAATTCAGTAAGTGAATTTTGATTGCAATCTTTGTTTTTGCTGGAATCTGTATTTGGGATTATACCAAAAATGCTTGTTGTTAGTTCATAACTTTAAATTTATGCTAATCAATATGCTCTGTAATGGGAGAGTTCAGGACTTGCAATGGGAATGGAAATTCAGTTACGTTTTTCAGCCATTTACTCCAAGTTATGTTTTTCTGCCATTTACTCCAAGTTATGTTTTTCTGCCATTTACTCCAAGTTATCTTGGGCTAGTTCTGAACTCTCTTATAGTGTCTTTGCTCTGTAAATTTAGTAAGTGAATTTTGATTGCAATCTATTTTTTTCCTAGAATATGTATTTGGGATTATACCAAAACTGCTTGTTGTTAGTTCATAACTTTTAATTTATGCTAATCAAAATGCTATGTAATGGGAGAGTTCAGAACTTGCAATGGGAAATGAAATTCAATTATGTTTTCTGCCATTTACTCCAAGTTATCTTGGGCTAGTTTTGAACTCTTATAGTGTCTCTGCTCTGTAAATTCAGTAAGTGAATTTTGATTGCAATATTTTTTTTGCTGGAATCTGTATTTGGGATTATACCAAAAATACTTGTTTATATATGGTTAATTTGTAACTTTTAATTTGTTTATATATGGTTAATTTGTAACTTTTAATTAATGCATTGTAAATGAAGTTGGAACAATAGATTTAGAGCTACAATCTATCTTTCCAACGAGATATAATACGCCCCAAACGGATAAACACACAGTAGGATATGAGTGTCACAAATACTTAGCCTTATCTCTATGATTTAGCGTTTTCAGCTAAAATAGAGCACTTTTAGCATAAATACAGTGTATTTTAGTAATTAGGCAATAATCCCTTGATTTTTTGAAACCAGCGCCTGAAGACAAGTTTTAGAACTCGGTATGATCTTTCAAACGAGATATTAAACGCTTCCAATGGCACAACAAAGAGCAAGATGTGATCGCATCAAATTCTACACGAGTTCAGAGTGAAATCAGAAACATTTGTGAATATATGGTTAATCTGTAACTTTTAATTAATGCATTGTAAATGAAGTTGGAACAATAGCTTTAGAGCTCCGATCTATCTTTCCAACGAGATATAATACGCTCCAAACGGATAAACACACAGCAATCTCTATGATTTAGCGTTTTCAGCGAAAATAGAGCACTTTTAGCGTAAA